AGTCAATAGTTGGCAAAGAAACACTTGGACCAAGCAATCACAACCAGATCACAGCGTCTTTGTGATCAATCAGATTATACTAAACCTTCACACAACAGTTGACAATATATGCATGTCAACCTGAGATCATATCACTTAGCAGCTAATGTGGCTTAGGCCATTGATGCAATTACAGCCAACATATTGTATGTATTTGTTCCTTCTAACCCCGTGTCAGGCTAATAGGACTGCATGGTATTACTGGTATACTGTTATACCACGTATACAACATATTGTATGTATTTGTTCCTTCTAACCCTGTGTCAGGCTAATAGGACTGCATGGTATTACCGGTATACTGTTATACCACGTATACAACATATTGTATGTACTTGTTCATTCTAACCTAGTGTCAGGCAAATAGGACTGCATGGTATTACTGGTATACCGTATTTCAGTGAGTGAGTGAGTGAGTGAGTTGGGTTTAATGCCGCTTTTAACAGTATTCCCATAAAATTGTGTCATGTCAGTTTAATGTGGGAGGAAAGCCCGAAGTGATGCAGGTCCCAGACGTTTACCCACAAGCACAGGTATGGTGCTGACAAACCTAGAAACATAATCAGGGCAAACCGGGACTCGAACCCACAATCATAGGTTTCTGACGGGCGCCAGGGACGTAACTCTGCACAGTCTAATTAATTGGAACTACAGCCCAAAAAATATATATGGGACAGTGAAATAAGTCTCACACCTAGTTAATGGGCAAAGTCTATGGAACCAGGCACTTAATATTCTGATGAGATGAGGTGAAATGGGATTTAATGTCGCATGGAAGATTATTGAACTTACATTGCGACAAGAGAGTGTGCGTGTGTCTGATTGTACTAATCCAGACTTATGTCAGTCTTAGCACTAGGCCGCACCACAGTTTAACATAGATACCCTACTCAGACAGTATACTAATTCTGAGCCGACCAGTCATTTAATGCCCCAAATACCGAGCTCCAGATAGGGTAAGAACAAGTACCATATTTGAATGTCTTTAAGTATGATGCGGACAGGCATCGAACCACCAACCTTCCGTTCTCTGGTAAAACATGGTCTCATGCACACTCCGGCACAATGCTGACTCAGCATAACGCCACTGCCACAGGCTAATTTGCATATCATGTGACCAGACTTTCTCTTGTTTGTAAACAAATGCGCTCTTTCAGAAATCAGTATAGAACAGATTAATGCAAGTATTTGGGGGCTCTTAACATATTGTTTTGCATAATTATATAGATATGCTACTACAACTGCGACAGTGAATTTCATGACAATATATATTTATACATCAAAGTGACCATATCACTTGCTCTCCGTTGGGCTTCGATGACAGCACGTGGAGACTTACAATCAATGTAAACAAAGGATAACTAGTAGATTTTCACGTATTAGGATACTTTCTTAATGAACCGTAACCATTCTTTGACATTTGTTTATGAAAATGTGTAAACTTGTCAAACATGAAACGGATGAAAAGCATATGCAATATCTTGAATGGACTGTGAAAGGTGTGACGAATCGTCACATGGCGCTGGCCTGTGGCAGAGGTACTATGCTGGCTGGCTGCCAGCCACATGGAACTCTGGGTAGGAGATTGGGTCTCATGGATAGAATGGGTGCCCGGAGAGTGGAATGTTGGTGGCTCAATAATCTTGAACGCAACATTAAACCCCATTTCCCCTCCTTCACTTTATGCTTCCATAAGAGTTACAACTGCAACCCCATTTATCAGAAGTTGTTTAGTTTTATTGGTTTGTTTGTCCCAATTGGTGTCTAATACAGCAGTCAGCAATATTCCAGCTATATGACGGCGGTCTGTACATAATTGAGTCTAGACCAGACGATCCAGTGACTGACAGGAAATAGCATCCATCAAGTTGGGATACGATTACATGCATCAGCCGAGTCATTAATAGCATTATAGCTAGTTGGTTTGTTGAGTAGTTTGTTTCGTATTTATGGTTCTATTAATATCAAATATTTAATACATGGAAATAAATATGTCTTCAGCTGTTACTTGACTGACACCACCCACACACCTTCTAGACTGATGTGTGAGTTCAGTTCAGTAACGCTGCACTCGGCAATATTCCAGTTACCGTATTTTCTTGAGTATAGTGCGCACCCATGTATAATGCGCACCCCCCTCTAGCGGGTTCAATATTTTGGAAAAAAAGAAATTTGAATATTATGCGCAGAAAATATTTACACCGTACCCTTTCAGCGAAATCCGGCAAACGAACGGGTGCTGAGAAACTTTGTCAGTACAAATTCGAAATTTGAGATAAAAAATCACCAGACATGTTTATTTACCGTTTAAATAGTATTTATTGTTCTGCTAGGCATTGTTTTATATCTAGGGATTAAGATTACCTTGTGTATTTTCTCGTAAACTAAGCCGGAAACAGCAACCAGCTGTACACACGTTTTCTTGGAATTGACCGGTGATTCGGTCAAGACACACCCAATGAAATAACTTTATAGGATTTTTAATGCAAGGATCGGCAACAAGTGTATCTGAAACTATTTTTTTTTATCAGGAATAATATATTCCATTATTTTCTTAATTATATGTAGCCTTTACTAAACATATTTAAAATAATAATAACCCTAAGCGAAGCAGCTGATCGCTATTCCCGGGTATTATTTTTTACATGGAACCAGTCTGACCAGTCACCGTCAAGGCTCACGCGCACGTGATCGCGAGAATTTCATGTTGACATAGAATCGTCTAACAAAAACAAATATGACTTTTAACGAGTCAAAGTATGTCATTTATGATATATGTATCCATTCTCTGTCAACTAAAGTTCGTTTCAAGGCGTCAATAGCGGTATTCTGACCGTGGTTGCTGTTAATAACGGTGAGTTGTGCGATCTTCCGATCACTTCACACACGATTTCGCCGAAATTAATAAAAAATTTAATAAAAAGGAATTTTGAATAAAATTAATGAAATAAGTAACAAACATAAGTCCAGATATACAAAGAACACTTTTTTATAGTCAGACAGTGTAATTACATGATTATTTTGCGTACTTCAGTATGGATTTGTTGACATGGTTATTTCCGGTGTTTCGTGCTCACGGTAATGTCTTTCCATGGGGGAAAAAAACATCCAAACTCATAATTTGTGTATAATGCGCACCCCCTTCTACACAGCTGTGTTTATTCAAAAAAAAGTGTGCACTATACTCAAGAAAATACGGTATATGACGGCAGTCTGTAAATAATGGAGTCTGGACCAGACAATCCAGTGATTCACATCATGAGCATTAATCCACGCAATTGGGATATAATGACATGCATCAACCAAGTCAGCAAGCCTGACAACCCGATCCCATTAGTCGCCTCTTACAACAAGCATAGTCGCCTTTTACGGCAAGCATGGGTTGCTCAAGACCTATTCTACCCCGGATCTTCACGGGTGTGAGAGTTTAGTAATTACCCAAACACAGGACATTGATTCAGCAAAAACTGATCAACTAGTTACGTGGGGTAAAATTAGCAAGTGCGTCACACACATCCAAATGCTTGGTGAGTATTTTTCATACTTGAAACATATAGCTTAATAAATACATTTTGCACATTTTTGTGGTGAAAAAATTCAGCCTGTTCAGCAGAGAAAAATAATGATTTTCATATTTCATTATTTTTAACTATTCATTATTTAAGTGTCGAAGGAATCTATACAATATTCAAAAAAAGAAAAGTAAAAAAAGATAAATAGCAATTCAATAAACATGATAAAAGAGACTAGCCTATATACAAGATGAAAAGCCTACCATTATGACTCCCACATCAGCAATCTCCTCCAGGAACATTAAAATCTCAAAGCACCACCTCCAACCGTGAACACTGTCTACAATATTAACACATCGACACCACGCAGCATCCAATATTTTCCTGTTAATGGCTGTGTGTATCAGCAATTTAGATCTTGAACGCTAAGATCTCAAAGCACCACCTCCAACCGTGAACACTGTCTACAATATTAACACATCGACACCACGCAGCATCCAATATTTTCCTGTTAATGGCTGTGTGTATCAGCAATTTAGATCTTGAACGCTAAGATCTCAAAGCACCACCTCCAACCGTGAACTACAATATTAACACATCGACACCTGACAGAATCCAATATTTTCCTGTTAATGGCTGTGTGCATCAGCGATCTAGATCTTGAACGCTAAGATCTCAAAACACCACCTCCAACCAGGAGAACACTGTCTACAATATCAACACATCGACACCTGACAGATTCAAAATGTGAGCGATATTTGCTTTGTTTATATGTGGAAAGTGAGGAGAAAGTTGAGATCTCACAACAAGTTCCCACATTTAGCGCTGTCTCAACAATAAACATATTTCAGCCATCATACCCAACATCTGGATGTTTGCCAATATTTGCTGTATCCGTCAGTGATTGTACAACTACAGAGTCTTGATTTCACAACAACACGTTCCGACCTGTAACACTGCTCTACAGTTAACAACAATTAACACATCCATCACCACAGTTACCAAATAGGTGCCAGTAATTTATCAGTGAAAAGGTGTCGCGAAAGTTGCAATCTCCCAATACCTTGATGACACGTTCCCACTTTTAACACTACCTCTAGTACAGTTGAACCTTGTTTCGTCCAACTTGGATGTGTCAAGGTCCTTGATGTCTCGAACTCTTTTCGGAGTCCCAAGTATCCAAATTAAGCACAAATTTCCCCTGTTGTACTGAGTGAGTGAGTGAGATAATATTGAGCAATTTTGCAGCTATTCGCGGCGACCTGTTGTACCGAACACTGAAGACCAACACTTAGTCAATGAAAACATTAAAATAATAAAAATATTTTTTCGAAAGAACATTTCCTCTTCTGCTGGTTTAGGCTTGGTTAGTTTGATCTTGACTTAACTAAGCTTTTAGTAAAAAGAATACCTAAAACATAAATTCAACAGTCATGGTGCAGGACTACGAACCCTGGATAACACAAACTTTCTTCCAAGTTCCCACGATTCCGACACAGCGACCATATCATATATCCAAGCCACTTCATCTGTATGTTTGCCTGGTATTTGTGATTGGCAGTCATCTCAATCTGTGTCATGCGTCAAGAAAGTTGACATCTCACTACAAGACGTTCACACCTATAACACTGTTGCCACTAGAGGCACACAAGGCCATCATGACCCCTTAGTCTAAAAAATGTCCTCCGTTATTTTTGGTACATCAGTGAAAGAAGGAGAATACTGCAATATCAGAACACGTTCCTGCCTATAACACAGTCTCTATTAGGAACACATCAAGGCCATCAGCACCCCACATCAAGAAAAAAGTTAATTTTCTCAGTTCATCATTGAAAAAAAGAAAATGTTGCAATCTTCCTGCCTATAACACTGTCTCTGCTAGGAACACATCAAGGCCGTCAGGACCCAACATCAAGAAAAATGTTAATTTTCTCAGTTCATCATTAACATAGAGCAGAGAGTGCTGCAATCTGACAACAGGTTCCTGCCTTTACACTGTCTCTGCTAGTAACACATCAAGGCTGTCAGGACCCCACATCAAGACAAAATGTTAATCATTAAAATAGAGCACAATACGTTCCGACCTTTACACCGTCTCTCCTAGTAACACATCAAGGCCGTATGGCATAGAGACCCTACAGCATGAAAAATGTTCATTTTCTCAGTTCATCATTAAAATAGAGCAGAGAATGCTGCAATCTCACAACCCATTCCTGCCTATAACACTGTCTCTGCTAGTAACACATCAAGGCCGTAGTCTGAGCCTGAACAACATGACTAACTAGCTGTGACACCTATCACCTATCACCCTGACAAATTCTTCACCCCTGACAGCATGGTACAGTTATGTAGATCATGTGACACAGGTCACCTGTCAGAATGACTGGCTAATGACTGCAGTGCACATGAATCAATGTTTTTCATACATGTTCGCTGGCTCATTGCCATACCACAGCGGTGGGTCCTCATCGTTTTCACAAGCTAGACTAACACTAAGCTTCTGAAAATAAATAATTTTGATAGAAACAAACATTTCAATTGAAAAGGACCCTATTGTTTGTTTGTTTGTTTGTTTATTTGTTTGTTGTTTAACTCCACACTTAACAATACTCCATGCTGATCCCTATATCCTCCGTCTTCTTAAATCAAATGGATAATAAATCCACATTATGTCACCATCCAAACAAATGTGCTGCCATTATCACAATGGATTGGTTGGTTGATTGGTTTGTTGTTAAACGCCACACTCAGAAATATTCCAGCTATATGACGACGGTCTGTAAATAATCAAGTCTGGACCAGACAATCCAGTGATTGTGTCATCAGCATCGCTCTACGCAACTGGGATACGATGGCATGCATCAACTAAGTCAGTGAGCCTGACCACCCGATCCTTTTACGGTAAGCATGGGTTGCTGAAGACCTATTCTACCCCGGATCTTCACGGGTCGTATCACAATGGAACTTATTGTCAACATTTTGGAGCAAAGTAAATAATATTGTAAATAAGGCTTAAAAAAAATTAAAGAACTGGTTCTCAGGCATTGGTTTTAAAAATATAGTGCAGGGGTCCGTAATCAAATAAACAGTTGTGTACAATCAACCTGGGAAAGGGCCTTCCTACATAAATGTATTCCTTGATGAGCAAAATACTGGAATACAGTATTTGACTGCTGTTGGACTTGGAATATTTAAGGAATTTTAAATATGTTTTTTTAAATGAAAATATAAATGAAACGTGTTGCGAACTTTATGATGATGCAGCTGGTGCCTGAGAACCAAGACTATTATTTTTTTTAGCCTAATAATCATATTTTCTCTCTGGTATTTTTTAAACATGCAACACCACAGCAAGAATAATCCAAAAACAAGACATCAACCTGAAACACAATGTTAAATAATTGAGTGTGGACCAGAAAAACCAGTGATTGATATAATGAGCACGGTAAAGGGTGGCAGGGAGGAATAGCTGGATGAACTATAACTCTGTCCAGAAGAGTGATACTTTGTAATGTTCAAATGGCTGTTAGAACAGTGAGTGAGTGAGTATGGTTTTATGCTGTTTTTAGCAATATTTTAGCAATATTTCAGCAATATCACGGCGGGGGGCCACCAGAAATGGGCTTCACACATTGTACCCATGTCGGGAATCGAACCCGGGTCTTCGGTGTGACGAGCAAACGATTTAACCACTAGGCTACCCGACCGCCCCCTGTTATAACAACAAAACACACATCAGTGAACACACATAAGCGTCCAGTACGCACAAATGTAGAGAATGGATGAAGAAAAAAAATACTGTATATCCCGAAGGATGGACAATAATACACATTGTACCTACAGCAGATCAAGAGCAGTGATAGGTGTCTGTTATTGCATCCATCAATAATAACCACTGTCCACATGATCATTGATTCATTCAAGACTCCAAATTAATTATCAAGATGTACAGTACACTACACCAATTTACATTACAGGACCCTAATATTGCCTGCAAGGACCCTTAAAAGTAATTATTGGGGGTTCCCCTGACCCCTAGTTTTGTAATTCAAGGTAAAACCCTGACACATTATTTAGCACACAGACAGGCCATGCTGTCAAGGCACCTGCATGTACAGCTTGATCGGGAACTTGTCCCATTCACCACCCAAAATGGAACCTGACAAACATGAGTGAGTGAGTGAGTATGGTGTTACGCCGCTTTTAGCACTATTCCAGCAATATCACGGCGGGGGACACCAGAAATGGTCTTCACACATTGTACCCATGTCGGGAATCGAACCCGGGTCTTCGGCGTGACGAGCGAGCGCTTTAACCACTAGGCTACCCGTCCGCCCCCTGACACACATGAATAAGATTCTTACCCCTATATTATTAACTCTGTGAGAGGTGCTGGAAACTTGGACTGCGGTGACATTGTCATTTCTATCCGTCATTTCAACCACTGAGGACATGGTAAAGCCTCACACAGGCATTGCTGGATACACTGATAGCTGCAAGGGAAATAGTACTTGGTAAATTAAAGTCTCACACGTGCATTGCTAGATACACAGATAGCTGCAAGGGAAATAGTACTTGGTAAATTAAAGTCTCATACAGGCATTGCTGGATACACTGATAGCTGCAAGGGAGATAGTACTTGGTAAATTAAAGTCTCACACGGACATTGCTGGATACACAGATAGCTCGGGGGAAATAGTACTTGGTAAATTAAAGTCTCACATGGGCATTGCTGGATACACAGATAGCTGCAAGGGAGATAGTACTTGGTAAATTAAAGTCTCACACAGGCATTGCTGGATACACTGATAGCTGCGAGGGAAATAGTACTTGGTAAATTAAAGTCTCACACAGGCATTGCTGGATACACAGATAGCTGCAAGGGAAATGGTACTTGGTAAATTAAAGTCTCACACAGGCATTGCTGGATACACAGATAGCTGCAAGGGAAACAGTTCTTGGTAAAGCCTCACACAGGCATTGCTGGATACACAGATAGTTGCAAGGGAAATAGTTCTTGGTAAATTAAAGTCTCACACAGGCATTTCTGGATACACAGATAGCTGCAAGGGAAATAGTACTTGGTAAATTAAAGTCTCACACAGGCATTGCTGGATACACAGATAGCTGCAAGGGAAATAGTACTTGGTAAATTAAAGTCTCACACAGGCATTGCTGGATACACAGATAGCTGCAAGGGAAATAGTACTTGGTAAATTAAAGTCTCACACGGGCATTGCTGGATACACAGATAGCTGCAAGGGAAATGGTACTTGGTAAATTAAAGTCTCACACAGGCATTGCTGGATACACAGATAGCTGCAAGGGAAATAGTACTTGGTAAATTAAAGTCTCATACAGGCATTGCTGGTTACACAGATAGCTGCAAGGGAAATAGTATATGTCAAAGTCTCACATGGGCATTGCTGGATACACTGATAGCTGCAAGGGAAATAGTACTTGGTTAAGTTTCACACAGGCATTGCTGGTTACACAGATAGCTGCAAGGGAAATAGTACTTGGTAAATTAAAGTCTCACACAGAGGCATTGCTGGATACACAGATAGTTGCAAGGGAAATAGTTCTTGGTAAATTAAAGTCTCACACAGGCATTTCTGGATACACAGATAGCTGCAAGGGAAATAGTACTTGGTAAAGTACTTGGTAAATTAAAGTCTCACACAGGCATTGCTGGATACACAGATAGCTGCAAGGGAAATGGTACTTGGTAAATTAAAGTCGCACAGGGGCATTGCTGGATACACAGATAGCTGCAAGGGAAATAGTACTTGTCAAAGTCTCACACGGGCATTGCTGGATACACAGATAGCTGCAAGGGAAATAGTTCTTGTTAAAGCCTCACACAGGCATTGCTGGATACACAGATAGCTGCAAGGTAAATAGTACTTGGTAAATTAAAGTCTCACACAGAGGCATTGCTGGATACACAGATAGTTGCAAGGGAAATAGTTCTTGGTAAATTAAAGTCTCACACAGGCATTTCTGGATACACAGATAGCTGCAAGGGAAATAGTACTTGGTAAAGTACTTGGTAAATTAAAGTCTCACACAGGCATTGCTGGATACACAGATAGCTGCAAGGGAAATGGTACTTGGTAAATTAAAGTCGCACAGGGGCATTGCTGGATACACAGATAGCTGCAAGGGAAATAGTACTTGTCAAAGTCTCACACAGAGGCATTGCTGGATACACAGATAGCTGCAAGGGAAATTGTACTTGGTAAAGCCTCACACGGGCATTTCTGGATACACAGATAGCTGCAAGGGAAATAGTACTTGTCAAAGTCTCACACGGGCATTTCTGGAAACACAGATAGCTGCAAGGGAAATAGTACTTGTCAAAGTCTCACACAGAGGCATTGCTGGATACACAGATAGCTGCAAGGGAAATAGTACTTGTCAAAGTCTCACACAGGCATTTCTGGATACACAGATAGCTGCAAGGGAAATAGTACTTGTCAAAGTCTCACACAGGCATTGCTGGATACACAGATAGCTGCAAGGGAAATAGTACTTGTCAAAGTCTCACACAGGCATTGCTGGATACACAGATAGCTGCAAGGGAAATAGTACTTGGTAAAGCGTCACACAGGCATTGCTGGATACACAGATAGCTGCAAGGGAAATAGTACTTGGTAAAGCCTCACACGGGCATTTCTGGATACACAGATAGCTGCAAGGGAAATAGTACTTGTCAAAGTCTCACACGGGCATTTCTGGAAACACAGATAGCTGCAAGGGAAATAGTACTTGTCAAAGTCTCACACAGGCATTGCTGGATATACAGATAGCTGCAAGGGAAATAGTACTTGTCAAAGTCTCACACGGGCATTTCTGGATACACAGATAGCTGCAAGGGAAATAGTACCGTATTTTCTTGAGTATAGTGCGCACTTTTTTTCGAAAAAACACAGCTGTGTAGAAGGGGATGCGCATAATACACGAATTATGAGTTTGGATGTTTTTTCCCCCTATGGAAAGACATTACCGTGAGCACGAAACACCGGGAATACCATGTCAACAAATCCATACTGAAGTACGCAAAATAATCATGTAATTACACTGTCTGGCTATAAAAAGTGTTCTTTGTATATCAGGACTTATGTTTGTAACTTATTTCATTGATTTTATTCAAAATTCCTTATAATCTGATAATATTGTTTTTATTAATTTCGACGAAATCGTGTGTGAAGCGATCGGAAGATCGCAC